GATTCACTGTTCTTTGCATTAATATATTCACTTTTTATTTGTTTGTAAATTTCACACATCATGACATATTTTTGCTCATTCCAGGTTTTAACTTCCTTGATTATTTTTAGTCTTGGAGACAGATTTAAAGGGAAGTGATAAAGGTGATTGTCCCCAAGAATTTTTATTGCTAGCATGAACATCATTATTTCTTTCAAACAATATATTTTTTCATTACTTTTCGATTTTGTTTAAGTGTACATAATTTATTTTAAGCAATTATTAAAGTGAAACTTTTATATATTGTTTATTTCATTGCATGAATTAAAAATGGTCTTTCTATGGTATATGATTTCTATCATATTTTGAAGTTTTGAAATGCTGCTGCTAATCACATTGTGGATATGACAATTCAATATCTTTTAGATATTTATTGATACATTGTTTTAAGGTTATAGAAATATACTCCATTTATGCTGGGTTGATAAAAGTATCTTTATTTTTGACTAAAACTTCTTCCTTGTGTAAAGGTTCCTCCTCAACAGGTACTGGTACAATATATAAAATAGATTCACTATAAACCTTTGAGAAACCAGTAAAATATTTATTCGAAAATGTTTGTTTTTTCGAATAAATATTTTACTGGTTACTCAAAAGTTTATAGTGAATCTATTTTAAGACTTCTTCCCTTTGCTAATTCAAAGCTACACCAGTATAATAAATCCTATTTATAAACAAGGTCTATGTGGACAATATAAAAAAAATTTGCTCAAGATCATTTATTAAAATTCTATTTGTTTTGGAAAGAAATAAAAATCAATATTTTTAAATATCTGAGATTTTAAATGTTATTTTCATTGGGCTGCAATTTGAAAAAAATTGTAGACCTATAAATTCCCACCATTGTCTGTCTGTTTTTCCTTAATCTCAAGAACAGAGATAGATAGATAAAAGAACAAGACCAGATAGGGAAACCTTTTATATACATACATATACAGTCTTAGAAGCAGGAGGCCACAATTAACTATATATGAACTTCTGATGCAAACCTTAAGTCATGTTATTTCAATTCAAAATTTTTCCCCTTAAAACAGTTAATAGATGACTGGTACACTATTGTAACTCTATTGTTAAAGGAAAAGTAAGTAATAATTTGAGGTAAAGAGCATTTGCAGCCAAGTACTGTGACAATGTCACAATAAATAATTGCTTATTGTTTACCAATTTTTCTTGGGGATTGTGTTTAATTGTTCATAAATGTCATATATCTAATTTTGTTTTGTTTTTAATGAAATTTTATCTAAAACTGTTCCTATTTTTTTTTTTTTTTGCATGGGCAGTGTTGAAGTCAAGAGGATAACAAGGGATTCCTATTCAAAATTTCTCCTGAAGAAAAATGTCTGAAATCGACACTGTCCCTAATACAAATTTGCCTGGGCCCATTAAGCTATAATGAACTACTGCACAGTGTTTGAAAAGTCTACCAGAAATTGTACAGAACTATGCTCGGATGACATTTTCAACATAGACAAAACAGACTTACTTTTTGAATATTTGCCAGATAAAACAATGCTGTTCAAAGTCAAAAGAAGCAAGTAACTTTTAACTCTTCTTGTGGGAATGGCTATAATGGATAATGAAAAATTGCTACAGTTATCAATTGTAAAATCTTTAACCTTGATGTTTCCACAAGACTTTATCTAACAGCAAATGAGAAAGCATGGATATGAAAGCTTTTCTTTAATTAACTGAAAAAAATTAGATACCCTCATGTTTGCCATACCAGAAAAATTATTCATTTTATTGACATCTGCAGAGTGCATTCAATGAGTCCTCTTCTGAAAGTGAGAACAGTTAAATTTTTACTTCAATTTCAAATACAACTTTTAGATCAGGGAATCATTCAAAACTTTAAATTATGATCACTTATCATAAAAAATACTGCATGTTATTGAAAATGGATCCTGTTTATCTGGAGTGAACTTGCCAGATACAATGTAAATGATTAACAAAACTTAGAATGAATGATTTCTAAGCACCATTGTGAATTGCTTCACAAAAGTAAGATTTGGTCAACAATTAGTCAATGCTTCAAATAAATTGGAATTTCCATCAGAATCTATCAATTATACTAAAGACGACTGTGCTAACATCGTTACACAATGAGTGATGAAAAATATCATTCAAAGATTTTGTCAATGAGCTTACTGTCTGTAGACACTTATCTGAAAACATCACCATTGTTGAATTAAAGAAGTGCAAGAAACAGGCATTGAAGCTAAGAAATAAATAAAATCTGCTCTCTCTACATGTAGGAAAGCCAAAGAAACTGTAAACTTTCTAAAAAAAACATCACTCATAAAACAAGATGCTTTCAAGGTAGTTGACCACATTTAAAACATTCTTGAGCAAGAAGCAATGAATTGTTGACAAAAAACTTTTTCACTAATAGTATCAATGTTTTGTTATTTTATACATACATATATCTAAAAAATAATGTACAATAAAAGCTTGATGTAATGGATCACCATAGAACCAAATATATTGGTCCATTATAATGAAAGTCCATTTCATTGTGATTAACTGTTATATCAAAAATACCATTACTATACAATAGAATCATGTTAATATGGACCTTGATAACAGAACTGGAAAAAATATCTGCAGATGGTTCTCTATGCCCAGATGCCAAATGAATGTATTTTTATTTCATTCTAGCAGATCTGTTATGGTGAATATAAGGGGATTTATATAGTAATATTGACTAGTCCATTACCGGATAGATATCAATATTGTGGACAAAATTTCATCCAAACAGTTGCCAAATTATATTGGGCTATATTACTACTATTATTATTAATTAAATCAATGAGATACCATGGAGTGCCAGTAGCAGTGTTTACAGCACCACTTTTGGAAGTTCACTGAAGAGGTACGGTACATGCTGGAGGCCACACTGTATTTTAATGCAGTCATCATATAATGAAGAAAACAACAGATTACAAAAACCAAATTTACATTAGGAATGTGAAAATACTAAAAAGTATATGTTGCATACATAATTAAAAAATATATACTGTATATTATTTAACTTTTCAGCTGTAAAAGTCATATTTTAATTGAATTCCTAATAGCAAACAGATTATATAGGATATATTAATTAAATGAAACATAAAAATTACAACAAAACACAAACATTGATTAATTATTAATTCATCAAAAATGACCCAAGCAGAAGTAACAAAAAAGAAAAATGAAACTGTGATTACAAACAGAAGGGTGAATGGAAAATTGATTTAGGCATTGAGAGTTTGAATGTCAAGTTAAGAAGGCAATTTGCTAGCCACTTCAAAGAGTGGGAAGTGTATGCTGTATCTTTGCATTTATATTATTATTAATGATCTAAGTGACTAATAAAAAATCAGTATAGTGATTTGTTTACTTTGTAGTTATCGAGTAGGTGTAATTTTTCATAAATTTTTCCTTTTTTCAATAAATCATTTATTGAAAAAAGTAAAAATTTATGAAAAATTACTTTAGCCACCACAAAATCTGTTAAGATCATAAATTACATAATAAATGCAAGAAAACTGAATACCTTCGTACACTTTAAAGTGGTTGTCAAATTGCATTCGTAATACAATCTTTGAACTTTCACCAAATGAACGCTGGTGTCAACCTTAAAACTGTTTCTTTTTCATACTATTGTACTACTGTTCTTGTTGAATGAATGAATAACTTTGGAAAAGTTTATGGTTTCTTGGTACCATAAGCTTAATTCTGACAGTAAGACAGAAGTTTAGTAACATTAATATGTATGATGATAAATGGTGATAGACAACTTTATCTGTAAGAGAACACTAATCTGGTTAAGAATATTGTTTGACTTTTTACAACCTGCCCTCCTCCCCTATTCCTGTTTTAAGCCAGTCTTTATTTGACACCTACAGTCAAAATTTGTCCTCTGAAAAAGTATTTGAACTGATTCTTTGTTTTAAAATATTTTGTATGTAATTAATTGTTTCAGAATATTGAAAGAGGAACACTGTGTTTCGTAAGGTAGGTTATGGACGACGGCATCCATTATTTAGAGGGAAATATAGATATCCTATTTGAAGGGTCTGAGGATTGTAAAAATGGCCATTAAGTAGAGGTGTCCACTATTTGGGAATGTTTGTTAATGGAGGTTTCACTGTATATCTATTTTTTGTGTTAAATCTAAAGCTTTTTGTTTTCTTTTATAATCTACAGTTTTGCTTTACACAACAAATCAAAAACTGGCTGCTCATAAAGAAAATGAAACTGAACAGTAGTAATCAATAACAAAATGAAACAAAAATTAAACATGTGAAAATCTATACAAAAAAAAAATGATTAAAAAATGAATTTTATATTATTATTGTATTTACTTTAGGAAATACACTTTGTTGAAATAAATTAATTAATGACTACAACAAAATAAAAAGTAATTAAAATATCCACAACAACAGAAGGACAGTGGTCTGCTATAAAAGAGTCCATTACAGCAAATGAGTTTTCTAATTTTCCTACACTTTTAGCCAGATTGACATTAGCCATTCATAATAATGTGAAGTCCATTATATCAAGATTTTACTGTATTTAATTCTAAGTATATTGTTTATATTGTGATATTTATAATCTCAATAATTTCTGTAACTTAAAAATCTCTCTCTGTCCTTTCCACTTAAAGAGTGTCTACTCTATTATACTACACAAAATGCTGAGTTTCTAGGAGCTACAAAATATTTATTTTCTGGCTTGTAAAAACACTTTCATTGTTTTTTGCATTTTAATCTGAATTTAACTAATGGAGTTGATGGATTTATTGAAGTCATCTTAGAACTAAGATTATTATATTTTTTTTTAGCTAAAAAGTTAAAACTTTTTTATATGTAATACTGAAACTTAAAGATTTTCAAATATTTCTTTCAACAATACATGCAATGTAAAGAAACAAAAATACATAGTTTAATATTTATAAATATTANGAATATCGTGATATCGTATATAATTCAAAAACATTACATAGCAAAATCCAAATGTAAAAATATTGATATCAAAAAATATTATATGATTGAATGATTTAGAGTTGTCTTATTTGAGATTCCAAAATATGTTCATTAAAAATGTAAGATCAAAAGTGTTCAATATTTTTATATAATTACTATTTCTACATGAGGTATCTTGAATTATGTAACTATTCAATATTAAGTTAGTTAGAAAAAAATTATAGATTTATAAAAAAATCACAGCAGTTTTTGGTCCCAAAGATACAAACATTAAAGCTATTCATAGTACATTTTTATATATATGAAAATTAAAAAGTCATGAGATCATCAGATGTGATGACTTCTACTACAAGAGTTCCTGGCTTTTTTACTCCTCCTTCACCTTTCCTTCCAAATAATTCAATTTCATGAATGACTGGTTCTGTGGTAATTGGAACTGTTAATGCACCTTTACCTAAATAAGTGTCCATAATAATGTTGCTGTTCCAAACCTAATGTAAAACTCTCATTAGTTTCAATCATAATATAGACAAATGTACTCAAATTACCAACATTACCTGAATTTTAATTGGCGAATCCACACTTTTCCGATAAAAGATTGCACTGACATTCCATATAGGATCCAGTGTGTCGTGACAGATTGGGGTTCTTATTCTTTCTCCTTCACATTTCACAATGCAATAAGGATCTGCAGCTGTAAAAAATAAACAGTTTTATAAAATTTCAAAGTTTTTAACTATGTTAAAATTACTTCAATTATTACATGGAAAGAAAAGCAAATTAATTAAAATGCTGGTTTTAAAAATATACTAAAACAATATCCAAAAGATTAATAATAAATATTAGTAGTAAGTTTTTTGTGCTGCAATTTTCAAATTGCAGACCTATGCATTCTAACAGTTGCATCTCTCCCTGTCCTTCATTAATCTCAAGAACAGATAGAGAAAGCTTAGTGACTGTAGACCCCAATTAATTAACTATATACAAACTTCTCAGCTGGATAGGAACTTGCATGATTTCAATTCAGAAAATTTTTTGAGAATGAAGATAGCAATTGAGTCATGCAGGTCATCTATCAGAAGTATGATGTTTGTTTTTAGTTTTTAATTTTGAGAGATCATTACTGACAGATTAATGGGAAAGTTTTAAGTTAACTGAATTTTGAATGTATTTCAAAATACATGCTATTTATTTATTTCTAGTTACAGTCAGATATAAGAATTCCACTTCATCTACATATCATATTGAGATGAAAAACATACATCAATTGATTTTTTAAATGACAGTCGAGATGCTAATTTTAATTAATGATTTTTTTTCCATTAAGAATTTTAATATATTTAGAGATAGATCCTATCTTCTCCAATTCATTTCTCTATTCATTTGATGAGATTTTTCATGCTATTGAGTTGATGATAACTTTACACTCTTTTTTGATAATTTAAAAATATCCAAGAAAAATTTGGCTTCAAGATTCTAACTTACAAGTTTGAATCTAATCAGAAAATGTTTTTTAATTATTTTGTAATTAGAACGAACTTTTTATTAATTCTAATTATGAAAATATGTGTACAAGACAATAATATCTAATAATAATCTCTACAGAAAATAAGACAGTGAATATAGATGAATCTAAATGAATCTTCTCTACAAATGTAGTTTGTGCATGTATGACTTCTCTGTATGTATTTGTTTGCATTTGTGTAAGTGTAGTTTACATAAATCATTAACTTGTGTTGAACTGTTGAACACTTATTTGCTTAAAATAAAAAATTATTTTAGTTTACATCTATAATCATCACAGTAATACATATTCTACCAAAGATGGTTGTTAAAAATGAATAAATTCACACAATAACAATCTTGAAACGACAAAAAATTTACTAACTATTAATATAATGTTTTCAGACGTCTTTAACATCCTTCTTCCTGTAGAATACTAAATGGAATGCCAATTCAAATTTAACATCTGAATGTTAAGATAATGCAATTCGAATGTAAGTTCGAAAATATCACAAAATACAAAGATCATTGCATGTAAATAACACATAAATAAAATAAACGAATACATAAAAATTGAACCAATAAATTGACGTTTCTTTATATTTATCGATTTAGTTTTTATGTATTCGTTGTATTGTCCTATAAGCTATTTGCTTCTACTTCCTTTGTCCCCAGGGGCTTGTTGTTCNAGTTATTAAAATAAATTATAAAACAAAAACACTGGTTATACATACATAAATAATACATACATAACATATACAGTATAATCTTGTTTTAATGGATTGCAGAATAATGGAATTTTTCCCCAGGTCCTGCCAAATCAATGTAATTTCACCTCCTTTTAGCAGATCTATAACTTAAAATAACAGACTTTTTCTAGCTCCATCTATTGTAAACTTTGCATTTTTCAACATTTAGTTAATATTTGGGTATTTGTAAAGTTCAATGATGCACTTGTTACATCTATGATACATACTGTACAATTGAAGAATTGTACGAAAAGAATCAGTAGACTGACACGATTGAGGAGGAGTCACCTAGTGAACATTCTGATTCTGGTACAAATGTAGTAATGAAATTTAGCAAGGCCATTAAGTCTTTCCAAAACTTGAAGACATTCCCGACAAGTTTTGGCATACACAAACAAGCAGTACATGACATTGCTAATATGAAGCAGTTGTATTCAATAGACAAAGAAGTGGCATCAAAACCAAGATGGATGAGTTTTTAACAAATCATAAAGTGAAGTGAAGTGCTAATGAGCATACATAATTTGCCGCTTTATTTGTGCTTACAGTATATGTGTTTCTATAGAATAAAAAATAGAGATCTCAAGAGACTGAATAATTTAAAGTACATGTATTTTTTATATCTAGGGGATTAAATAATAGATATTTTTCTGGATGTGCAGAAAAACTGTTGTTTTCAATATCATGGATTCTTGGAACAATAGGTGATTTTTGGCAGCCTGAGCAATCCTTTAAAATGAGATTCTACTGTATTGTTTATACATTAATAATATATTTTGATATATTGTAAATGATTAATATTTAAAAAAATCTGTTATAGTTTTTGACAAATTTTACTTGATGAATCTTATGGGTATAAAGTGAAAAATTTGCAGATAATTATTTTAAGATATAATCTGCAAATTTTTCAATTTATACTCCACTTAATGCTGCCTTGATTAACGCTGATTCAATATTTCAATATAATGCAGTCTGCTCGAAGCCTAAAAAAACACTCAAAATTTACGCTGATTCAAATTAACACAGCATTTCATCGATTCATATATAATACAATTATTCCCAAACACAAACAAATCAGCAAAAGGTGGCAATTCGTCATATTGCTGCACTTTCCTTAAATCTGTTTGTTTTGTGCAATTTTGGAACAAATATAATATCATGGATGCCATAGGCAATAATCAACTTCACTTGGAAAGAATTAACTGATAAATGCATGAACAGAGTGTGGAAGAAGTTATGGCTGAAGGTATCCAAGAATTTTCAATGAGAAGAGCCTATTGCTGTATCATTAGGTCGACTAAATTGTCAACCTAATCAATGCAGCAAGACTAGGAGATGTAGACAAGCAGGATATTGAGGAGTTACTGCAGATTTCTGGTGAGAGTCTTACCAACGATGACCTTCAAGAACTGGCAGAACAAGGAATTCATGTAGAACTGGAAAATAGAGATTCTGAAAATGAAGTACCCGAAGAACTTGCTACAGATTTCGTTAGTAAAAGTTTGGTAACGATAACCAAAATCGTTGATCAAATTATAGCGAATGATCCAGATTTTGAAAGGAGTGCAAAAGCAAGACAAGGCATTTTGAATGTGATCTCCTGCTACCAACATTTGCTTAAGGTAAGAAAAAAGCAACAAATGAAACTACACGACTTTATTGCAAAAAACAAGAATTTCAGAAAAGTGAGGACCTTTATCACAAAAATGAACTTTTCATTACAGTGTGCATATGTTTGTGTGTTATTTAACATATATTATTAAGCAAATTAATATAAGAATAACTTAAATAAGTAAAATTTGCTTATTTTTGGTTGAGTGTTCCCCACTCCCTATTTACTCTGTGCTGAAGTGACCTCGTTTAACACTGTTTTGCTTAGCGCTTTGTCGTCTAGGAACGCATCCCCCGCATTAAGTGGGGTCTTACTGTATATACATACATGTTTTTAATACTATTGTATATATTGAAATTCAGCTAGCTAATTTTTAGTTCTTATTAAAAAATCATTATTTCATCCAAAATTTTTTCCAAAATATATTTATAATGAAATTATTAACCTTCAACTCTGTTTAAAATATTTTTAATTCTATTTGTTCAATATATAAATATGACTTACACTGCATCTGCATCTTTATTTGTAAATATCCTTAACATAAAATTTCCTGTATTATTTGGCTCAAAAGTTGTTGGCACTATTACATATCTTCCAGTTTTTAATGTACCTCTCAGAAACACACCTCGGCTGGACATGTATTCAGACACAGCAGCCTTTTCTTTGATAGTATGAAGTCGATAACGTCTATTTAATTCAACCTATTAATTTTAAAAATTGAACGTGATATTTCAAAACAAAGTAAATAAAATCAAAATGTAATAATTATTGAATGACATCATTAAAAATAAAACCCAATAGTCAAGCTAATATCCATTGAGATATTAACTTGACATTAAAAAGTAATATGAATTAATGACTATAAGTAAAAGTTAAGTATGAATAAAAGTTAAGTATAAATGCTAGCTATCAGACAACCTGTAATTATATTTTATAATGTATTTTATTATTTAGGAGATTACCTACTGAAACATACAAATATATCATAGAACAAATTAACACTAATACATTAATTTGATCTACTGTTTCTGAACTAGTTAAATGCTGTACTCTGCAGAATTTAACCTATTGAAGATTAAATCCATTTAGGAATTGAGAAGGTACAACTGACCAAAAATATACTGTAATATTTTTCTGCTGGAAAGAAGTTGATATCAATTAATAAAAAATTCTGAGACAAACTTATGTCTCAGAATTTCAATAAATATATTTTTCACATGTATTAAGATCATGCAGTAAATAAAATTCTGAAAAAATACTTATTCAAAACTTAATTACACTTAGTTAATATAACAAACTTTCAAAATATTTAAAGATATCATCTTACCTTCATAATGTAAAAGCCAATAGCTAGATTTTGTAAGCCTTCTATTTTCTGGGATCTTTTATCTTCTTGCATCAAATAAATCCTAACAGTATCTTCTGCATCATCAATGTCAAATCGATACTGTTAATTAAAATTCATTCCTTATATATGATTTTCATAAGTGAATAAATTTTTAAACTAGACTTAAATTTATAATATGATAAAATAAAAACTAGCTAATTCTCAACTTCTAATATTAGTAAATATCATTAATAACAATCATATTACAGAGATTTTTTTAATGCTATTATGTAATGTAAGGTTAAGATTTAAAATCAAACAATTTATAATTGACATCTAAATAATTTTCTTACACAACATCAGCTACCATTAATCACAATATACATCTTTAGAAAGGTTAAGGGCTGTACTCAGAGATATAGCCCAGATAAGTAGAAATGGAAAAAAGTAGTGTAAGAAGTGGTTAAGAAACAAGAATAAAATTAGGTGGATAGGAAAGAGAGAAGGAGGTAGCTATGAGAACAATGGGGCATTTGCACCACATTTATTTAGTAGTGAACATAATACAAATACAGTGTTAATAATACAGTAAATCAAATACAGATAATAGTAATGATGGAACAATTGAGTAAAATATAATATATACATAAACTTGGAGATAAAATACATAAAAAGCTTAACATGAAATTGAATAGTAGGCTGTATAATTATACAGTGACAAAACAGAGTTGACTGCAACACGATAAATAGTATTACAGGGTGGTAATTAGTGGTACCAAACATTAGGTAGTATGCATTATGAAGAACATAACCAAAATACACAATACAGATCCCAATGCACAGGCATGGGAGAGTAATTAACAAAATAATAATATTGCAGTTGATGAATACATTACTATACCTGATTAGGAGAACCTACACAATTAATAATGTGAAACAATTATAAAACAGATGTAAATTACATGCTGAACAGTGCAAAACAATTAAGGCACGGCAGAAGATTAATAATGGTTTGGGACACAGATGGAGACTGAGGAGGGCACAAGAAGAGGGGACCAGGCGAAAAACAAAACTAGTCCAGCAATGTAATGCTATGGGCAAAGTCTTTAAATGCCAGTGAATGTTTTTGTTATCTGCCAGAGTCTTGTAGTCGCATGGCCAATGAATCCCTTCATCAAGAACAGTATTGATGATAATCCTTCTTTGGATCGTAAAGTTCGGGCATTAGAAAATTATGTGTATTGGTTCTTCATCCTTGAGAGAGCAAGTACACAGTCCGTTGCCCTTATGAAGAAATCTTAAGAAGTAACTATGAAAGTTACAGTATCCAGTCAACAGTTGTATCAGTTGGAAGGAAGACTAGATGTCTACTGTCCTTCCTGTTGAGAATGCTAGAATAAATTTCTGCGTTAGCTTCCTAGTGGTACTCGCATTCCACCTTTCCTGCCAGTTGTCCAAAGCTGACCAGAAAGATCTGATTGGAAAGCCAGGTGGGAGGGATGTTGCTGTAGGAGCAATGGTTGCACCTTTCAGATGCAGTGCAAACCAGGTCTACTCTCTCATTCCCTTGAATCCTCGTATGACCCAGATGAATTTAAAGTCTATCTTGTTCTAAAGTTGAAGAAGGGTGTGGACACTTGTTGACAATGGGTAAGTTAATGTTCAAATTCTTCAGTTGCAGAAGGGCAACCATACTATCAGTGAAGATGTTGACATGTTTGTATTCTCTGGAGTTGGCATTGTTTGTGGTCCATCTGATCGTATTCCATATAGCAAGAGACTCAGCTTGGTTGGCAGAACAGTGAGGAGCCAGCTAGATGTTTTTGTTGTTGTACACTACCACAATGGAGCACCCCACTCCCTGTCTGACAGAGCCATCAGTATAAATACAGAGGCCAGAGGGAATGCTGGCACTGTCAAGAAAGAATAGATGATCAATGGAAATATTAGGATGAATTATTTGATGATTTGGTTTCAGATCTAGGCTGTGATCAGTAATATACTCTGTGATGGTAGTGGCAGCAGAGTGGATGTTGATCTTCTCAGTGATAGTGTTATATTTGTCCATGGTGAGCCTCTTGTTTGCAAGTTTGTGCAGATGGTATTTCCAGACTTTTCCTTTGATGATTAAATCTAGGGAGTAGATTCACAATAACAAGGATGGCATCAGTGAGTGCAGTCCTGTACGCTGTGACAACAGAGACTGCTGCCAGCCTCTGTGCTGAGAGTAACTTCTGTTTAATGTGTACCTTATCCACAGAACTGCCCCATATTTCTGATCTGTACGTGATGATAGGCTCAATTACAGCTGTGTACATTAGCCTGTGAGCTTTGCTGCTGTAACCCCATCAATTTTTTGCTATGGAAGTAAGCAAATGCATGACAGTGGTTGACCTTTCATATATTTAGTGCACACGTTGCTTGCAAGTTAAGGTATTGTCAAGAGTGACACCCAAAGACTTAATAAAGCTAGCATTTTTGATTCTATTACCATCTATCCTGATAGTGGGGCCTTTCTTCAAAGGAGTAGACTTCAGGAAAACAATGCAATGACACTTGGAGTAGTTAATTTTTAACTTATTGTTCTCACTCCACCTCAAGATACTCTGTAAAATGTTCATCATGCTATTGTGACCATTGGGTCAGTATCTCTTCAATACCACGTCAGGATGACACCACTTTATCCTTAGGTCGATACAGAGACCACAAGTTCGCGCGAGTGGTTATGTATGAGGTTTGGACCTGGAATGGAGTGAACGGAGAGAATGGAAGAAACTGCACTCAAAGATGTTTTAAACATAAATAACCGTTTATTTATATTAAATCTAAGTTAGTTATACATCAGAATTTAAGGCTACCAAGTCAGTATATTGCTAACTTATAAGTTACGTGAATCGCATTCAGCATTGATCTTTTTCCCCTTTCGAGCTACAATTGAGTTTGCGATTAGTTTACATGGAGAGAGAGAGAGCATACAATAGTGCGTGGGAAGGATAAATACCTTAACTTATACTGTTGATCGAGTAATAAAGTTCCCAAATCCTTGGTTTTCCTAAGTAGTTCTCTTGAAGTTCGTTGATGTTCTAAAGTTCAGTCGGCAAGGAAATAAACATACAGGTACAGTTTCTCGAAGTTGATCTTGGCGTGAGGTGGACGTGTCGCATACACACAATCAATTCATAACTTCCATGATCTTACTCATCATGCCTGTCCTTTTTATATGAAATCCTCTTTTCAGGCCTTTCTCTGATTTTGTCAGGGATGACGATCTCCTTGGACCAATGAGGTGACGAGTGACACAATTGTGACACAGAGATGTACTCATCTCAACAAGGAACCCAACTTGTGGGAATCGAGGTTTAACCAGATTTTACCGATTTTATTTTTCCCTTTTAATTTTTTAATAACTCATTCCGTCTTTATAGAGTTGTATTTAAAGTTTAATTAAAATTTATAAAAGATTAAAGTTTATAACACTAAATTTCTGATCCTCACACTATGTTCCCCTCTTTGCTTTGCCTCTTGGATATAGTTAACTATGGCAGGGGTGGCCAACCTTTTGCATACCATGCGCCAATTTTTTGACAGACGAGTTCAAATGTGCCATATAACTCGAACACTTTTTATACAGTCTTACGTTCAATGTCAGGGGTTGATAAATAGAGATAAGAATAAATCTGCTTCGCTTAGGAAAGAAAAGGAAATAACTTAATCACGCAGTTGAATTAATTAATTTATGACAGTTTATTGAAGCACCAATTTACAATAGTCAACAATGATCTCCTGTACGAGAGAGTGATTGCTTCATGATGGTGCTATTGCTGCCAGAGTCTCGTTTGGTGAAGATTACTCTGCACCACAATTATTGGCACTGAGAACGAGATCAGCTTGGAATAACTTTAATTACAATAAATGTTTTCGGCCATTTACACGCCTGTAAACTGATCGGAAATAAAGATCGCAAGACTCAAAATACATGCATACATTGTAATTTACTATGTGGAGAATACTCATTTTATCTGCAAAATAGACCGTAACGAATTGTGCAACAAATGAACGTGCCAAGACAGACTATAAAAAATTTATTTTTCTATATAATATTCTTAATCACAAAAAAGCCAAATCTGGCAATTTTGCTCAGAACTAACTGAAGCGCCACTTGTAATCGTCCAATGCGCCACGTTTGGCGCATGCGCCATGTTTTGGCCATCCCTGAACTATGGTATTGAGGGCCATTATTGTATTTCTGCATATTGATTGTTGTTTAATTTGTTATGCCTTTCACAGGTGTAACAAACTCTGTTGATACAGAACTTTGCCTATTACTGGAAAGAGGAAATTAGGGCGGTAATCAGATGAACTGATTGGGTGATTGCTTTTCGGAATGAGTTTAATTGAAGTCTTTTTTCAGATACTTGGGAAAATGCCAAGTTGAAGGCACTTGTTAATTAAATATGACTTGAAATGTCATGGGTGTGGCATAGTAGGCAAGTTTTTACCATTTTGAGGGTGATGCTGTCAGGGCACAGGAGCTTTTTTCTCTTTTAACAAGATCTAATTTTATTTATGACAATATAGTAAGGAGTTGACCGAGGATTGCTTCCACCAAGATCAGTACAGAATTTCTGCCATGAATCTATGTGAGATTTATTGATAGAGGTCTTGTAAGTTCTAAGAAGATCAAGGCAGGTTTGGCAAAGAGATTCCTTATGGAAGGACTCAGGTTCTTGCCTGGAGAGGTCACTTGTCCACCAGGGAGCAGAGTACCTCATAGTCCTGATGGTAGTTGCTTTATAATAGGCAGACTGAAGAGTGTGCTGGAGGATTTTGATGGTAGAGTTTAGTTCATTAGATGGTTTAGTTCATTAGCATCCATAATAATAATTGAGTCCATTGTCCAGTGAGTTTTAATGAATTGCTGATACAGATTCCAGTTGATATGCTGAGTGATGCAGAGATTGCTATGGATGTTAGGTGTGTTGATTTGGAGCAGAATATAATTATGGTCAATAGCAGAGTGGTCTTCAAGAGTGTTGCAGATGTTGATGGAGGAGAAGCTGGTTCCCAATACAGATATCAACCCAACTTACACCAGTGGAGGCAGAATAAGTGGGAAGAGT